TCAACACATATATGAAGTTTTTTTGAAATCTTTTGGAAGTGAATTACCACCACTGCCTTCTTCCATAATGCTTCTGATTTTCTGCTCTAACCTATAGTCTAGTATTCCCTTGTGGTCTCTCATCCAAATACTGAGACTTGAGCCCCCATCCAGTTCAAACAAGGTCAGGCAGGTGCTGCCATCTACTGAGATATTCAGTAGCTCTAACATTCTTGATAGGTTTGTGTACATATGAGACCAGCAATTTTGCCTCAATAAGAAAATTAGCCACATTTTTGCAAAATGGACAATGTATTACTCCAAGTAAAATCTTATAGTAAACCTTTCTGAGAATGCTTTTTTTATATTATACACTAATATATACTATACTAATACTACTGTGTTTCTCCAAAAAGACGACCCACCTTGAAAAGAAGGGTCATATTTTCGAGCGCATGCAATCAAATTAAGCCCCACCCACAAAATTAGCCCTAATTAAGACCCCGCCCACCCCAGGGTGCAGGAGGTGGGGCGAGGCACACAGGTAAAAAATAAGCTAGGGTGGGAATGGGGGATGGAGCTGCTCTACTTACCAGGCCTTGCACACCCTGACACCTGCCTCTCCTTCTTCTGCAGCTGCTTGCCGCCACTCGCACGCATCGCCCCGGCCTCCGTTTCGCCTTTAGATGCCTGCTGGAAGGCATCTGCAGCCGATAACAGAGCTCCGTTATCTGCTGCAGAGTCCTTCTGGCAGGCATCTGAAGGCCAGGGCGATGTGTGCGAGTGGCAGCAAGGGGCCACAGAAGAAGTGGGCTAGCAGTGGGCTCCTACTGGGCGGAGCTGTTGGTGTCACCGCTGTGAGGTGAGTCAATAATTAGAACCCTCCAAAAAGAAGGCCTAGCCGTTTTTTAAGGGGTCAAAGGAAAATAAGACCCAGCCTTCTTTTTGGAGAAACATGGTAATACTATACAATATTAATACTATACTACATTACATTACACTATACTACACTATACACTTTGTACTATATATCCAAAGTATGAGGAATGAAGAATCAAAGGTACATGGGAAAATGAAGTGCTAATCAAAGACATTGTAGAAAATGTGACTACAGTAGTTTCTTCTGCTCCTTTGACTGATCCTCCATCTATTATTTGCCAGTTGGAAGGGAAAACAAAATGTAGTATGATTTTACAATACTTTCTTGATATTTCAAGATACCTGCTATGGAAGTAGCAGCTACTTTTTATATACAGCTTAAAAAATTCTCTCTTTCCTGCTCAAGTTTCTCATTTCCCCTCAGTTGAGATCATCTCACAGTTCTTCTGATGATCTCATCTGTTACATAACCAAAACACACAGAGGCAAAGTCTGCAGTCCACTCCATGTTGGAAGCTATTTGAACTTCAAAAGAATTATAGGCAAGGCAGCTGCAGAATCAAGTCTGTAATAAAGATGGGATTTGCTAAGAAAACTAAGTGCGACAGACTAGACTCTAGGAGGAGCTGCCTGAAAGCATAAAAAGCCCAGGCTTTTAGAAAGGTGTGAAAAAAGTCCAATTAGTTCTCAAATGTACATTTTTAAATCAGGAAAAAATATTATCTCTTCAAATTTCTCTTGCATAACCTGATTTTAGCTTGGGTCCATCCTCTTCTTCCTTAATACCTTTCAGCATATGCTATCCAATTTAGGGCATGTCAAATATTTCAACTTTCAATTTTCAAACATTAGGGGTGCTCAAAAGTTGTGACATGCCTTGGATTGGTTACTTTTATATATTTTATGCTTTTATATATTTTGTGCTTGGTAAGTAACTACATAAATATCATACCTTTTTAACATTTTGTTTGTTTCATTTCTAAACCTCTAGTTCCTAGAGACCTTAGTTTAATCTATGCTGTGTATAATACAATTGGATAACACACACTGTTGGAGTGCCCTCCCCCAAATAATTTTCAATTACACAGTTATTTGGATCCTGATTTCTTTTCCACAGTCAAGAATAGTTTTCATTACCATGGAATGGAGCTCCTCTTCCCCTTGCACCTGAAAACATACAGTAGTATTATAGATTTGAGGAATCTGGGAACAGGATTGCATCCTGTGAGAAAGGTTAAAATCTGAAGTGATAGAAATTACTTCCTTTTCCTGATTAGAATATTGCTTAGAATTCCAGCCAATAACAGAATTAACATGCCAGAAAATATTTGTGGGCTTTGTTCCAAGCATTTATTTCCCTAAACTATCAAGACTTAATATTAGTATTGAAATTAAGTATGGAAGTACTAGAGTAGCAATGTGTCATTCATTGTTTCTAATCAACAATATAGCACACAAATGGAATTACATTTAGTCTTTAGATTCTTTCCTTCTCAGATTTCTTAATTATATGTCTAATATCAGATATGGTACTTCTGCACGTCTTCAAGAACTGGGAACTTATAGTGTCAGTAAAATACTTGCTCTACTCACAGAGCAAGCAGACAAAGTGAATAAAAAAAGCAACCAATAAATAGGCAATGCAGTACATATCAGATTCCAAAGTGAGGAAGAAATTCCCAGATATCAGGAAAACTTTGTTTAATTGATGAAAGCTCAATCAACTATTTTGATCTACTTTTTAATAACTGGTCAAGAACTATAACTTTTTGACAACTGGTCAAGAGAGAAATCACTATAACACATTATAGTGCATTAAATATCAAATAAAAGACAGAAACAACAAAAAAGGTATTGTATGACAATCTTTTTACACAGGCTATAGAAGAGTTAAAATATTCACCTGCATTATACACCTGTATGAACATTAACCGTATACACATTTGCAAATCAAATTGTCAGCTTTGATTTATGTTCATATGGTTTTTCTCTGACATAGAAGGGATGAAAAAGTTTCTCTTTGGTATGGGCTTGTTATTTCATCACAATGTCCAAGAAACACACTTGTGTTCATTTTTCCTAGAAACAATGAAACCTTTTGTCTATTTTTAGGCAGACAAGCTATTTCCACAAACAGCGGGCTTGTATCCTAAGTGCTGCATGTGTCAAACATTTCATCTAGTAGCCTGTAGACATGGAAATATATGTCTTTTTGAATCAAGTGTTTAAGAGAAGTTTGTGGCCACCAAAGTGTGCAGCAAACCAATTTGATGGAAATTATTTTTTATATCCTACAATGTGAAAGAGGCAACCTAGCCCGTAGACTGGATAGTGTAAGCCAGAAACAATTTTCCGTTTCTGTTATATTTGTGTCCTTGAAAAGCAATTTGAAATATAACAGAGTTACCAGGTCTGCATCTGAAGATGACGCCTGTTTCTTGAAATGTTCTCTGGCGACAGAGCTCCACTACTTTCCAGAGTGGCTGGTTTTGTTTCTTTTTATATTGTTCCTCCTCAATTTGCAGCAATGTGGAAGGCCCTAATTTCGTCCCAAAACTCTTCAGAGACGAAACATTGGGCAAAGCAACTAGGAAGTTGCTGCAATGCCATCTTTTAATGGTACTTTTTAATTTAGTTTTATTTAAGACAATAACTGGAAATGAAATGTTTTGAGTTTTGTATTGTTGGCTTTTGCCACAGACAAATTAAAAATAGTTGACAATATCTCCTATGGACAACTATAATTGAAAACCTTATTTGAATGTATTACCTTTGATTTTGATTAGGTATTGTGAAAACCTAAGCAGATCACTTTGCAAATGTGAATGACAAAGCAGCCAATCATTCCAATGTATGAGCGTACATGCGCACATGAGCGTACTTATGATATAAGTAAACCTGTAGTAGCCCAAAAACTAAATCAAGTTTAAATAAAGTGAGTCATATTCACCAAACGGGCCAGTAGCCATAAGTGCTACTCAGCTATTTTTCCATGTTGGTCTGAAGAACAAAATATTACCAAACTTACTTATTTATGTAAGATTACTGAAATCACTGTCATGAATGAAAACTTGCATATATATGCTTTTATATATATATATATATGCATATTCTTTCTAGCCAGGTTTTACCTACGTAAACTAAGTTATTCTACAGCCCTGGTTCTGTGAAATCTCATTCACAAGTTTCTGGGCCTTTTTTCTGCTGACAAACTGCAACTCTGTGTTGCTCTCTGGGAGAGAGTTGCAGTTTGTCAGCAGAAAAAAGGCCCAGAAACTTGTGAATGAGATTTCACAGAACCAGGGCTGTAGAACAACTTAGTTTACATAGGTAAAACCTGGCTAGAAAGAATATGCACATAAAAGCCTACGAAAAAGAAAAAGACACACACACACACACACACACACACACACACACACACACACACACACACATATATATATATAATATATCACACACACACACACACACACATATATATACACACATATATATAAAGTTAAAATCTCGGGTGTTTTCCCGCATCATTAAAAGTCTGTTAGTTAAAATGCTTAAAATCCTGGCTAAGATCCCAGCTCAAAATCCTCTAAAATCCCAACAAAACACTTTGTAAGGTCTTTTAAAACTCTGGCTAAAATCCTAACAAACACTTTAAAGGTTTGGCAACATTTTAACAAGCTCTCTACCTTGTATCTTCGGGCCTTTACTATCAGTAAAGTAAAGCTGTGGGTCCTGCTTCATTATCCTAGCTGCAGCCTGATTGCGTGTTAACGGCCCAGCTTTTTCTGGTTCCCTATTACTAACTGTCAACTGCAAAGAGGTAAAGATTCTAGTAGGCATCACAGTACCACTGGTTGCCTGCTGAGATCTCAGCATATCTTCTGGCTCGGTTCTCGCTCTCTCCCTATTGCTAGCTATCATCTGCAAAGAGGAAAGGATTCTGGCAGGCATTACAACACCATTGGTTGCCTGTTGGGATCTCTGCCTATCCTCTGATGTTAAACTCGAGTTTCCCTTAGTGCAGGTCTCCAAATACTTGATAACCTAGAGGTGTCATCTCATCTATTCATATTTTGCGGCCTCTTTTCAATTTCAATATATATATATATATATATATATAACATATAAATTGTGTTACTCACCACAACTGATTCAGGAAGCCACAGTACAGCTTTGAATTCTATTTAATTAATAATCATCCTGTTCAGCCAGTAATTTCAGTTATTCTGTGGAGAGAAACAAACAAAAATTGTTTTAAATTTCCAAGAATTCTTCTCCAGCAAGACCTTGATGAACCTCTATTGTGATCTCAGCTGAAATATGGATTTTCAAGACAAATTAACAACTATTCAGAGGACAAAAATAGTACATTTTTCTACAGAAGAAAATAAATATCTACTTGACTTTCTTTCGCTAATTATTATTCTTAATTATTATACTTATGTCATAATTGCTAAGAAGTAATAGTTTTCAGCATACAAGCTTTTAAAATATTTAAAAAATAATTAGAAAAAATTAAACAAGCTTACTAGTACTTTTTACTGTTTTTACATACATTCCAAAATTGTATGTTATTTTGCACACAGTAGTTTTTTATTACGTATTATAGAAGGAATGAAAAAGCAGGCTAGAAAGAGTATTGGCGCTTTTGAACTTTGGTGTTGGAGAAGACTCCTGAGAATACCTGGACAGCCAAGAAACTAAGCAAGTGGATTACTGTATAAATCAACATTAAGAGTTCTAGCTCAAGGTACAAATGACCAAGCTCAAATTATCCTACTTTGGACATATTACAGGTAGTCTTCAACTTACAGCCATTCACTTAATGACTATTTGAAATTGCAATGGCACTGGAAAAAGTGATTTACAACTAGTTCTTCAACTTATGATTTTCACAGCATCCCCGTGGTCAAGTGATCGTGATTCGGATACTTGGCAACCAGCATGCATTTACTATGGTTGCAAAATCCCAGGGTCTTCCTGATCTTCCTTGGCTTCCAACAAGCAAAGTCAATGGGGGGAAATTGGATTTACTTAACAACCATGGCAAAACGCACTCATAAAATCAGGCGAACTCACTGAACAACCGTATCATTTAGCACTTTGGTCCCAATTGTGGTTGTAAATTAAGGACCACTTGTATGTAAAGACCTCATTGTCTAAAGGAAGTGATAATGCTGGTAAAAGATAGAAGAAAAGAGAAGATGACCATCAGCATGGGCTCTGTTACAATGGTGGTGGGTGTACCATTAAAGATGGAAAAACCAAGTTAGGGGTAGATTGTTATGGAGAAAACTCATCTATGCAGTTGCATATACATCATCAATCAACCATGCAATAAAAAATATAATAAATACTAAAGACTTTGAGAAAGGAAAGTATAATTAGCAAACAAGTAAATAAGAATAGACTTTTAAAAATGCATCCCTCTCCTGAGCAATTGAACAATTCAAATTAATGTCTTTTCAAATATGCACTTTTAAAATGAATTTCAAACAACAGGCTATATTTGCTGCTATTTACTATATATATATTGAAACAGTCAGATTGTTCTATTTGATTATACCAGAGCAACATTGTTACATTCAAAGTACAAAGCTGTTTGTGAGAATTTTTATCACATCTTTGTTTCAGATGCCATTAGGGTTGTATAGCTTTCTCTTTGTCTCTCTCTACTTAGACTTTGCCAGTATGTAGGATTAAACAACTTTCCAAGGTTGAATAAGCCACCATCTGTCTGTTTTGCATGGTACTGTTTGCCATACAGGAGGCTTGTCCCTCAAAGCATGTTTCTACCATATGTCACCCTCAAGTGATCAGCCAGACATTTGAGAAAAAAATGAGCAAGTCTTACTGGAAAATCCCTCTCTAAAATTCTAGAGGAAATTCTCAAGGCTGTGTTTGTCATATCCTGTTATCGTCATGTGCCAGGAACTTTAGAGGTAAATCATCTAATAAAAACGGTATTCTATATACCATTTCCTAACTAAAATTCACAGGTCTATCATTTTAAAAGGCATGAACCAATATAGGCAATTCTCATCTAGTTCAGGTTGCTACATTCCTCATTCTAAACTAGCATATTAATATAAATCATCCAAATTAATTTTAAGCCCTTACAAACCTAGACATTTCCTATGCAGTAAACTTTTACTAGTTTTATTATTTAGCAAATACAATTAGAAATAGTTTTTCTCCAGACATTTAAAATTATATATGCCAGGTTGCTCCGTTACCGCTTTCAGTTTTCTTTCCCAAGTGTAGAACAGAATGCATATATTTCTAAATTCAAATTCTTTCAAATGACAGCCAGATGTTTGGCTTGCTACAACTACGTGTTTTCTTGGGCTATGAAGCATCCAAGTACAGGAAGTAACATTATTAGCTGCAAACTTTTCATGATCTCTATTATTACTTTCAATTTTGTTTCATTCAATGCATACTTAAGACAGCCATTTGTCTATATTGGACAGTCACTTGTCCATGATGATATATGGTTTCCTGCAGGGGGTTGAACTAGAAGACCTCCAAGATCCCTTTCAACTCTATTATTCTGTACAGAATGATCTGTATAGTTGTTGCTTCTGTATAATTAGAAATAGGACTGTTTGGTGAATTAGTATGTATATCAACTATCATATGCACAAAAACAGGTGTACATACTTTAAGATACTTTAGGATACATAATTTAAGATAAATCTTCCACAGCTCTCAGCTGCAATTAGAAGAGAAACAAATTAAAATTAAGTGAGTTGTTACCAAGTAAGCAGTAGATAAATAGTCAAGTAAGAAAATAATCAAGCTAGATTATTTTATGCTGGTACAATGGCCTTATTACAGAGCTATCCAAACTTGACAACTCGAAGACTTGTGGACTTCAACTCCCACAATTCCTCAGCAGCAATGGCTGGCTGAGGAATTCTAGGAGTTGAAGTCCAAAAGTCTTCAAGTTGCCAGGTTTAGAGACACCTGCCTTATTATGTAAAACATTTCTTTAAACTATGATTTGTTGGTTGGTTGGTTCATTTTGTTTATTGGATGTTGAGCTGCCCAACTCCAAAAAGACTCTGGACAGCTTACTGTATTTGAAAGAATATATAATGTAAAAGAATCATGACCATCTGAACAAAACCCCATAAATAAAACTCAGAAACAAGAAAAATTGCCATGGATTCCACAGACACTTTAACCCCAGGCCTGAAAACAGAGCCAGGTTTTAAGAGATTTCCAGCACATTTGAAGAATGGGAGCTGTAGCCTATCTTCATGAGGGCTGCTGTTCTGAAGACAGGGGCCACAACTTCATAATAATGTTATTAATGAACCTTTACTCAAACGTTAGGATTTAGGATTTAAAATTTAGAAGAGATCTTGTAATGCTTAAACTAAAGAGATGGAATATGTTTTATGCACTTGGGAACATTATTACTTCTAAATAGTTAACTCTGGAATGAGTATTTGTAGAAAACTCTTTGCTTTATCTATAGAGGGCAAAACCAACACAACAAGAATTCTTCTTTTCTTTTGTTAAATTCTCATTCTGTTAATCAGGGAGACAATTTTAATTTTACCATTTTGCAAAATAGCTGCTTCATTTCATGGTTTTATCAAAATATAAATCAACAGAGACTTATTGTTAAAACCCAAGTGCTGGAAAGGATGTGGATTTAAAAACTAAAATATAGTAAATATGGTTAGAATGTTTTTAGAATCCAGTTGGATTTGTAGCCTTATCCAGTAGGGCTCTTCTTGTGTTTTATTTCAAGATATCACAATGAAAGTTAATTGACAGGTGATTAGTTGCTACTATATATTTCATTTGGTCAGATCAAATTTTAAACTACAGATGAAAACTAGATCACTTGTTGCTGATAATATATTGTAAGTTCTTTATAGAATGTAGCTGTTTTGTTTCCTAATACATTATAAAATGAGACTCATTGTACAATTTGGCAATTCAATTACCTAAGGAGAAAAGACCAGAAAAGTTAGTATAAATGATAGCACATTAAAAGTACACCCACATACCATGACTCAAACACCAACACTAGATGGGAATTTATACTAAAGAGGAGAGTGAGCATGAGGGCAAACCATTTAGGATTTTTAAGCCAGACATTCAAATTAAACAGAGCTAGTCCTACTTTTTGATTTCTCCTTCCACATTAAACTGCAGGAATGATGCCGTTCCTTCAGATCAAAGGAAAATAATCAACCTAGAGCCAAACCAGTATCATGTTTCCTCTCCTCTCCTGCTGCTTTATCTTTATCTTTCCACAGAGGAAAATTCAAGTATATGTTTTTTCAAATTTTGTAAATGCCAAATCCATTTAAAAGGAAAATAAATGATGCTAATCACAGACAACTTTCTACAAATATTTGTAAAGAAGTCTTACAATAAAAATAATATAGGATGGACTCATTCATCAAAATTATTTCAGAAGAGCAATGCAACAGAGCACATGCAATAGCTACTAAATGTACAAATACAAAAGGAGGAAAAACATGAAAGATAAGAGAAATACAGCAGGGCACTGCATTTCAACAGGAACTGCAAGATGACTTTGAACAACAACACTGTAGGAACAATGTCAGTTTCCTAATTTATTGAGGTAGACGTCATGTTATGGAAAAATGTTGAGCTTCAGAGAAAACTGATATGGCCAAACACTTCAATCTTTGCATATTATACAGGAAACAGGTCTTTTGCTTTCAGTGCTTCCTAGGAAAACTACTCATCATTTTGGAATCAGGAATCTGGTTACAGAACCCAGACAATTGTTGAGGCAATATATGCTTAAAGAGGATTAAGTAACACAAGAAGCCCATAAAATCACATTTGGTCCTCTAACGCTATAGACTCGTCAATCTGAATAGTTTATCAACAGCTCAGTGACTAGAACTCACAGTCACCTAGCTTCTAGTCTGATGTCTTAACCACTACAACAAATTGTCTCTCTTTGGAAAGTTAAGGAAAAGCAGAATACATCAATTGGAAAGTATAATTATTTATAGTCTCATATATATAGGCAGTCCTTGATTTACGACCAATAAGTTACAATGAACCCATCCCCAAAAGCTACTTAGGAACCAACTCTGGACATTGGAAAGTTGCACACGCACACATACCCATGGTCACATGACAGCATTTCAGGCACTTGGCAACGAGGTCACCTTCACAGCTGGGTGCCGCATTCCATGGTCATGATTGTGGTTTACTAGTTGTT